TCTTCCATGTATGTATACCTCCGAGCACAAAGGAGGCTTGCTCCCGGAGGAAGTGGAAGGGAGGGGGATCTGGATATGGATGGCTCGACTTGGAGCAAATCAGAGCCCGGAAACGTCGTCTTGGAAAGGTGGCGACAGGGAAGCGAGCTGGTGCGTTCGAGGCGAAAAGCGCACTTCTGCCTGGCCATTGGCTGCACACGCAAAGACTTGCACTCAACCATGTGGAGACGCAACCGTCCAAAAGCCGCATCTCGCATCTCGATTGGCTCAAATCCGGAATAGGGTACTTGTCTTAAGCAGCCAATGACACGCCTGGGACGCCTCGTCTTGGACAACCTCCTCTCCATTCGGGATTCGAGGACTGTCCCGTTTGAGGTTGGGAAGCTTGCTCTTCGTACTAGTACCGCCTCTCTCCTGTATGTTTTCTTGAATTCTTTTATTTTATTTTCCTTTTTTATTCATGTTCCTTTTTTAGCTAACCCCCCTCCCCTGCCCAGAGTTTACACGAGTTTGGTTCCAGACGCGGATAGGCGCAAAAAGAAGGGATGGGCGGTACTTTCGAACAAAACGGCCTTTTTCGCTGTATCATCTTTCCATCACCTTGCTTGGTTTCCCAGGGCGACGTGGAGGTGGAGGCGGAGGAGGTGCAGAGGGACCTCCTCTGAAACTTGCTCCGCGAGAGAAAGAAAAACATGTGTTGCGCTTGCAAATCATATCGTGAGAAATTATCGCCAGTCACAATTCAAGAAATCAGGCCCCCTCAAATCTCTTGCGAGACAATGCTCGACTTGCAAGTCATGCAGTTGATCAGGAGGAGGCCCTGCCCTTTACTCCTCCCCCTCTTTCCCCGCTCTCTTCCCTCTCGCCGTCCTATGAGGATACGATGGAATGATGACCACTCCGTCAAGGCGCCTCTTGGAAGAAGAGGGGAGAGAAAAGGCGAGGAAAGGGCCTCGTCGCGCGCATTTCGAGCTCTGGTCCCTTGCCTTTCCAACCCCCGTCCGGTTTCCCTCCCCCACCCTTGCACTTGCTCTTGCATGACAGAAACCGGCTCACTGTCGCAACAGACCTCAAGACGAGGCAGAAACCTGTTGGACAGCAGCCCTTCTTAAAAAGAGTAATAAGCGAGGGGCCCAGTATCCGGCGGGTGGGTCGGCGCAGCTTACCCTCCGCGTCAAGCAAGCTTGCACGAGGCGAGAGACGCGCTGCATCCGTTGTCGCATCTCAAAAAAAGAAAGAATGTGGAAGGAAACAGACGAGGATGTCCGTGAGAGCGAAAGCGGCCGTCACCACAGCTCGGCTCTGCATCTGTATCAATGCGCGCGAGCAAACCCGTTCAAAGTGGCCGAATATTGGGTGGTTCAGTGGATATCAATCACCGTTCCGTCTCCCTCTCCCCACCCCTCTCTTAGCTTGGAGGGTGTTTGGAGGTTTTGAGCTCGAAGCTGGTAAATGGGGGCCAGGCTTCGGGCCTCGGCGGAATACTGGGCGAAACTGAAGGGTTCAGCACCCCCACGTAATCGATTCAATGGGTGTCTTTCCCCCACGATCTAACACCCCACGCCTTGGGGACCCCAAAACTAGCGGCTTGATTTTTCCCCCTTCACTTCACCCGTCCTTCCTACTAATAATAAGAGTCACACACACACACATCCACGAACACTGATCATCCACTACAACCAAACCCACGCGCTTCGGGTGAGACATGAGTCGTCGCCCGGCTATTCGAGGTTAAATTTTCTTCCCTTCATGTCCCCTTTTCGTATCCGTGTTTGAAAGGGGGAAATAATGCGCGCACATATGAACAATGAGAAAGAATAAAGGAGGGGCGTGTTCGTAGGCAGACAAAAAAGACGACTTCCTCAAACATCCTCAACATACCAACAAGAGGAATCCTCTAGGCTGCAGGGAAACAAGCGATAGCGCGTTGGCGATTTGGGAAGTATGAGAAGTCCAGCTGGCCACCCTGTAGCCTAGATTACCATGCAGGAAAGTAGACGGCCTCTTTCTTTTCCTATGTTTTTCCGTTTCCCAGAGGCGGACGGATCTTCACCGGGACGGCGAGTCCGGTCAAGCATGCAGAGTGAAAGGAGGGACAAGGTGGAGGGGGAGAAGGGAGCCGAGAGGTTCCGCCTCCTCGGTGGGGCCCGCGCGGAACATTGACCCATCAAAGCTGCTTAAGATGTGGCTACTGCACGTGTCAAGTGTGGCTGGGTGTATGCCAGGCTCCACTTTTCCCCTCATCTGGATTGGGCTGCTGCTATTTTTGGGCAGGCAGGAAACAGGAAAGAACGAGGAAGGCCCCTGCACTACCGAAAGAATTTAGTGGCCGGTACTCGCCCCCGGGCTGGGCTGGACTGGGCTGGACTGGGCTGGTCCTTGCCTAAAAACTTGCCTCACCTGGATTTTGTATTCCCCAGCTGCGGCGGCGCCTGCCTTGAACCCCATTGTTCCTCGCTTGCCTTGCTCGTTAACTCGTGTCCGTGAACTTTGCCAACAAAGCAAGCGGCGCTGCACAATAACCAAACTCCCCATGTCGGTCCCAGGCTTTTCCGAGCCTTGACGCCACCCGCAAGCTTCTTTATTTTGGGGATCGAGGGGGGCGCGATTGTGAATGATGTGGTCGAGTGACATCGATCACATGATGCACAGACGCGTTCAACTGGAAGGACCGCCACTTGAAATCCACTGGTCAATATGTCGGAGGAGGCAGCCCACGCCCAAGAAAAAACCCAAGCACTGCACTGTTCCGAGTCATCAGTCATCGCGCATATCGTTGCCAACCGAGATGCAGCGATCTTCGCCATTTGACCGCCCTCGCAGACCGACCTGCACATCCAAGAACCCCATGATATCTGGCTTGCCAACTCGCTAGTCATGAGACCTTGAATCCGCGGATAGAGATTTTCCGAACGAGGGTGCGGGTCCACGTTGGGGAAGTGACAAAAAAAACCCTTCCGTCGACGTCATCCTACGGGGATAATTGCTGTTGCTCATCGAAACTGACCGCCGGGACCCCTAAAAGTCCCTTGTCTAGTCGGCTTTTTTAGGGAGGGGGCGGTGGGAGCGAGTGATACGGATGAAACCTAACCGCTTGGCAGGCCCAGGAAGCGCGGTTTCTTTCTCTCCGCCTCTGAACCAGCCACTCCGTAATTCAGCAAGCCCCAGCTGTCTTCTGGGTTCCATCCTCTCAGGTCGAGGTCGAGACTATAGGGCCAGATGTTGCCGTAGCCACTGTATGATTTTATGATATTGTCTGATTAGTTGTGGTGTTTCCTAATCTTCCGTCGCCTCATATCAAATCGACGTGTAAACGGGAGACGCAAGCCACAGGTCCCGAATCCCAACTCTTTACAGCCGTTGATAGCCACTCCACTGCACCCCTCCCCCTTTGCCCTTTGCCGCCTCAATTAAGAGGGGAGCAAGAGAACCACGCTCCACGTCCTAAAGGGGACGCGTCAATTTATCGCCACATTCGTTTAGATGGCCGTTCCTCCAGCCGACGTGGACAGGCAAGCCCCTCCTCCCCCTTCCTTTCTTTTCATCCTAAGCACAGGCCAAACACGCTCGGCCAAGTGTCGCTTCACGACAGGTCGACCAGGTCAGCCGGGTCAGCCGAGGGACTCGGTCGACAGTATTATCAAAATTCTCAGCCAAGGGGAGGGGTTGGTTCCTCTAAGCTTCACTCTAAGCACGCCCGTTTCTTCCCGCCTGGACCCAAGGCCCCAGGACGTTTCCTCTTCCCCATCCCGTGGAGGAATGGTCTTCTGAGTCACGCGCCCCCTCCTGGTACAGTTGAAATGACCCTGGTGAAGTCGTCATCGTGGTTCTTTCCATCCTCGAGGACGACATGGGGCAACCCTTGCTTAGATCCGTACAGGGGGATAGAGGCGTCGGGGTCTGGGCCCCCTAAAGACGTGGTTGACCAGCATCGCATTATGGCTTGAGAGCTGGTCAGAAGTCCAACCTAGCCCAGCTGGATTTGTCGTCAGTTTTAAGCGTGCTAGTCTGAGAATCATGCAGCTCGAAATGCGACATTTCTCTTTTTCACTTGATCCCCGCCACTCTGCAGGTCTGCTTGCTGATTGTCTGAGACCAGTGGTTAGTGTCACCAGCCCTATCTTCCAACCCTTCTTTTTTTTTTTTTTTTTTTACTTCCCCTCCTTCCTGCTCAAGAAATCATGCAGTTCAAATGGTCAAGCGTAATGTGCACCAGTGAAGAAAGAGACCCGAGTCTCGATGTTGGTTGGAAGAAGTAATAACCAAATCATCGTGTGCAAGTCTGGAGCCCTCGAAGTTATTCGGCGTGTGTGCAGCCTGCTATCCGTCTCGTTGGTTTTCATCACATGGCTAGAATAGAATGCAAATAATATACAGGCAGGCCAAACAGCTTTGACGCTGAGAGAGAGGCTCCAATTCATGCATCCGAGATGGAGATGCTATGCTTTACGCCCCGACCAGTTTCAAAAGCTCGGCAATAGTCGTGGTTGGCCATTTACGTCTACGCGTATTTTGTTCGTACGTCGATGGTGGAGGGGAGCCATTAATTCTTTAGTTGAGACTATTGACCCGGCGATGGGTGAATCAAATTAGTGCAGCCTTATACGCGGATTTGAGGCACAGGTTTGAGAGACACCACTGAGACCAGAGGGTTGAAGAGTGGGGAGGTCCGCATTTCCAGCCACAATCCCGCTGTTTGGGACTCGGAAGCGCCACTGATGAGGCTGAAGCTCAGAAACAGGGTCCTCTAATCATGACATCTTCAGTTTCGAGTCTGACGATAGCGGCAGAACCTACCAGCATATTTGGGCACTTTTTCTCTTGGAGACCATTCCCACGGCCTCTCCATAGCGAGGAATCTGCTACATTTCCATTTTTCCAAATAATTAATTCTATTCTCGGTTAAATTCTATTTTCCTACCCTCTCCGTATACGAACCCCATGGTCCCGATACTTCCCCTAGAATCAGCGAACCCTCCCTCCTGGTGCGGCCGTTCACCATGTCGCAGGACAAGGCACCCGACCTCGTCCGGGCAAAATCCACCCGCCGCAGCCCCGTCATCCCCGTATCCCTCACCGAAGCCTCCCTCGACTCGCCGACGTTTCGCACCTCCGCCGTCCATTTCGCCGACCAAGTCGACGGCATCGAGCGCTGGCTGGAAGGCTACCTCAAGACCACCTCGAAGCTCGCGCAAGACGTCATCGCCCTCGACGAGTCCATCAGCACCTACCTCCGCCAGCTCATACCCACGCAAGCCGTCGCGGACAGCGTGATCGACCACGAATACACCCAGCTGGTCCTCAAGCGAGTCGGCGATGGCGCCCGCGATTACTGGACGCAGTTTCAGGGCTTCGCCCGCCGCATGGACGTCGTGGCGGCGGACCCCATCAGGACGTTTTTGCAGAGCGACCTCAAGGCGTTCAAGGAGGCGCGGCGGCTGCTGGATAACGCGCAGCGGGCCTTTGACACGACGCTCGCGCGGTACCTGTCCATGTCCAAGACCAAGGAGCCCTCCGCCCTGAGGGAGGACGCCTTTGCTGTTTTTGAAACGAGAAAGGTTTATCTCAAGTCCTCGCTTGACTACTGCCAACTTGCCCCGAAGCTGAGGTATACCCTGGACAAGTTGCTCGTGCGAATCTCATCCGACCTGTGGAGCTCGCTGAAGCAGTACCGCTGCGTTGCTACCAATTCGCCTAAATGGAACACGGAAATCGACCGCGTCAAGGGTTGGTGCAAGGATATGGAGTCCTCGGAAAACGTTTTCAAGAGGGAAGTTCATCTGGCGAGGAGGGAAATTGGTGAGGCTACCCTTCTGACCTCCAAGCCATCGCGGGACATTGAGGACTACAGTTCCTCGACGGTAGCCTTCCTCAGCTCCCGTGGGCCCTCGTCTGCCAACGCGCCCAAGGAAGGCGAGCCCGTCATCTCGGAGCGCCAGGGATGGCTGTTCCTCAAGATCGTGGCCGGGAAGCCGGTAAGAACGGCGTGGACCCGCCGCTGGTTCTACTGCCGTGACGGTATCTTTGGCTGGCTTGTCCAGGCCCCGCATGGCGTCCTCCAGGGCGATGAGATTGGCGTTCTTCTTTGCAACGCGAAGCCCGTGGTAGGCGAGGACCGGCGTTTCTGCTTCCAGGTCAAGACGAAGAGCCAGACCATGATCCTCCAAGCCGAGACGCAGGCTGAGCTCTCGGACTGGCTCGAGGTGTTCGAGGTAGCCAAGAAGCGCGCCTTTGAAGCCAGCGTGGATAAGGGGGTGCCTCGGCCACCGGTGGTACGAATCCGGCCTTCTCTATCACGCCCCCGACCGTCCCCGAGTTCTCGGCCAACGTCCTCGACGCCATCCTGGCCGGGGAGGACGGCAGCGGCGGGGTTAGCGCTCTCGCGCCCCCACGGAAAGCCTCACGCTCAATCAGCGGTCGAGCTTCGACGTCAATGGGCCGGCACGCCGCTCCATCTCGAACCTCGGTCGAGAGCTGGCGAGGAGGATGGTGAGAGTAATAGGGAGCATGCTGCCCGCATCATCCAGAAGCTTGACCTGCATAGAAAAACTACATTTGGCGCCACTCCGGAAAACACCGCGACGTCGTCCGGGGGCGCCGGCGGCATCGCCAGCCTCATCTCCGCGAGCCACAGCTTCCTGCCCGGGTCCGGGTACGTACTTCCCCGGCCCACCACAGTGGGGGACTTGCCGGAATCGATATCCCCCAGGCAGCCTCGCACCCCCGTACCTAGCCCCTCCTCCGATCCCGACCAACCTCAGCAGGCTCGCCGTTACCGTGACGGCCGAGCGCGGCCTGGCGCCCGACGTCTCGCGCACCATGTCGACTGCGGTCATGGCCAACTATTGGGGAGCAACCCTGGAGCTCGGCGTACACGTCAACGAGCGCCGACTATCACCGGCTCACCGACGTGGACGCGAGGCAAGTGGCTGCACTACGGCGGGGAAGTAGCTTTAGGAGCGAGAGATCGGGCGGCGATGCCGCTCCCGCCCCTGGGCCTCATCACCCCGATCGCCGTCTCCCCGAGAGGTTTCCTCCCGGGTACCCTCCCGAGCTCAAGTCTCAGCATGCCCAGTTTAGACTGCTCTTCCCCAACGTTCCCATGGACGAGAAGTTGGTTCTCATCTTTAGGGCGACGTGGATGAGCTCTGGGGAAAAGGGATTCGAGGGGCCGACCCTTGCTGGCAACGGACGCATCTACGTGACGCCTGACAACATGTACTTTTACGGCCACCAGCTTGGCCTCGTTGTGGCATATTCCATAGGGCTCGACTTCATCGCCGAGGTCACTGCCCACGCCGGCCAAGACTGCGATTTCATCGTTTTACGGCTTGGCCAAGACTACAACGACACCGGTCTAACTCGCATTACTATCAAGACATTCCTCGAGGATGTCCGTCTCTTGCACGCCCGCCTCAACCTCTTGGTCGATGATCTACAGGCAGAGGAGCCCATGGAGGCGGACGAGATCGTTACGCAGCTCATCTGCCTCGAGAGGGAAGAGCAGGAGAGGAGGAGCCCAAGTGTTGATAGCTGGGAGGACGTAGGGTTTGATGATCTGTCCGGAAGTCATCACTCGCCGCGACGCCACTTCCACGTGGAACGACACGGGGCGCGACCGGGCTTCCCGCGCCACCGACTGCGGAGCAAGGTCCACCTCCCTACGGCGCCGGTCGTGTACGAACCCGAAGACATGCAGATGAAGGTGGAGGAGCGGCATTTTGAAGTAGGCGCCAAGGCATGTTTCCACATCATCTTTGGCGACAAGAGTTTCATCTTTCCCAAACTCTACTTTGACCGAAATGCCCGAGATATTGTCCAAGGGCCGTGGACGCTGGCAGACGAGGGCCGCATGAAGCGCGAGTTCACGTTCAAGGCCAACTCGGTCGACATCCTCGGCCGGGCCAAGACGTGCGACGTGACGGACGTGCAGACGATTGATGTGCACCGCGACCACGTCACGTACGAGGTGACGCACGTCAAGACGGCGTGGCACCTCCCGCACTCGCAATACTTCAAGATCGTCACCAAGGTCGTCATCACGCACGTGGCCAAGTCCAAGTGCAAGCTCGCCATCTACATCAAGACGGACTGGAAGAAATTCCCCAGCTTCTCCAAGAGCATCGTGGAGCGGCAAGCCCTCAACGATGCCGAGGCCGACGCCGAAGAGCTCGCCGAGGCCGCGACGGACCAGGTCCGCCGCCTGGGCGCCCGTAGCCGGACCAAGCGCGCGATTCAGGTGTACGGGCACGTTGGCCAAGAATCGCAGCCCACGCCATTCACGCCCGCAACGCACGCTGACTCGGCCAAGAAGCCGGCCGTGCAGCCACGCACGCTGACGGAGATGGTGTACGAGACGCTGCGGTCGCTGGCGCAGAGCGCCGTCACCTCCCTCCTCATGTGGGCCTTTGCCGGCCTCCGCGGCCTGGTCAAGGTGCTCACGGCCCACCGCGTCATCCTGCTCGTCACGGGCCTGAGCCTCCTCGCCAACGTGCTGCTCACCTCTATGGAGGGGTCCACGTGGTGGAAGGAGAGGACGGCGTCCCGGCTCATGGGGCGGCTCGGCGTCGGGCCCAACGTCATGATGAGTAAGGCGGTCTACCTCGAGGACCTGGAGAATGTCCAAGGTCCGTCAGGTGCCAACATCACCTGGGCCGAAGACGGTAGTGCCTGGTACGTTTCCCATCCTAACTAACGCTTTTTGACTTGCTTTATATTTATCCTCTACTGACCGTTGCGCGAACAAAACAGCTTCGCCGCCTTCCGGTCCATCAACGACGCCACGAGCCTCGACATCCCCTACCAAGACGTGGGCGTCAACCTCTCCACCGCCTCGTCCCGCTCGACGGCCCAACGCCTCCGCCGCATGCGCCAGCGGCTAGGCGCCTACCGCCACGACCTCCTCGTGGCCATGCGCATCGTCAACAGCGTCGAGCGCGAGATGCTGCAGTCCGAGTGGGAGAATTGGCTCGTGGACGAGAACGCGCGCTGCGGGCAGCTCCGGTCGGTGCTCAAGGCTGGCGGGACCGCCGATGGTGCGGAGGGAGCTGCGGGCGGTGCTGCCGACGGGGATAAGCGGGAAAGAGCCAAGGCGTGGGTGGAGGGTACTGCGGGAGCTGTTGGGCGGATATGGGGCTCCTGAAGGAAGAGAAGAGACTTGTGTTTTGAAGAAGGAAGAAGAAAGAGGCCACGAGGAGGACGGCTTGTAGGATGTTGGGTTTGAGAGAGAGAGAGGGAGAGAGCGTCTGTTTGTATTCTACCATAGTGAGCCGGGTCATTCATTCTGCTTCAGGGTGTTTATCTGTCGTCGTCGCGTCCTTTGTTGTCTTTACTTGTCATTACTTTCTCGGCGCCTCGCTCACACAGAGGTTGGGTAATCTTAGCATACGCGTGGTGTTTGCAATACATAAAACTAAGCTTGTTTTCCTTATATTTTTGTCATATAGCTAATCCCAGCATTTTCGTGTCGGTTTATTTCTACTGGAGAGAAAGCTTGATTGCGTGAATAAAACACAAAGTTTTGAGCACAGGATTTCCCCCAGTACTCTATCCAAGCCTAGAGTGCCTCATTCTAAGCCCTCACCTCAGCCATCTCGAGGAGCAACCCCGAAAACCCAGCCACCTTGCCCTTGTCCGCCAACCTCGCCAAGCTCTCCTCCACGTCCGCGTGGCCACCAATCTCCGCGAGGGTAGCAGCGCACAGCAAGATCCTTGCGCACGCCGCGAAGACGGCGGGCCGAGACGTCTGTCCCAGGGGCCCGTCGTCGGCCCCGCTGTCCACCATGGCCACGAGCATGTCGAGGCCCGGCTTCGTCCACGCCGCCAGGGCCGACACGGACGCTTCGTGCGGCTCGCCCAGATGGAGAAAAACGTCCCGCCAGCGCTTGGCCTCGCGGACCTCGTCGATGAAGAGGTTCTGCTCCTCGACGAGGAAGAGGGAGGTGTCGACCTCGAGTGCCGCTTCGAGCTGCTGGGAGCTGGGCGCCCAGCTCTCCAGGGCCGCGAGGGCCGCGTTGACGGGGAACGCGTGCCCGGTCATGCGGGCGGCCGCCGCAGCGGAGAGCTCAGCGCTGCGGGAGCCTTTCCAGGAAGCGAGGAGGCGGTTGGCGGTCTGCATGGGGATGGTGGGGGCGGCACCTAATGTGAGAGCTTCGGCACCGAGGTTTCGGATCTCTTCGTCGTCATCGTTGAGGGCGTTGTAGAGAGCTTGGTAGAAGGCCAAGTACTCTTCAGCATTCGGACTAGCTGACTTGCAACCTAGGAGGGCAAATTTGGCCGCCTCCGCCGCAGCATATCGTGTATCAAAAGGCTAGGAGGGGGTGGGAACGTTAGCCAAATAATAGGAAAGACGGGAGGATAAACTGAAAAGGGACCTACCTGCTCATCCGCGCCCGATTCTGCGATGAGGAGTCCAAATTGCCGTAACGCGGCAGACTGGTCCCACTCGGCGCCATCCGCAAGGGAGCCTAGACGACCTAGAATTGCCCCGATAGCCCGTACAATCTCGTCCGAGAGGGTTGGGTTCATGGAGACAGTTTGCAACCTCGTCCACAACCTCAGCAATGGCTCCTTTCCCGGTTGTATCTCGGGTGTGCTTCGCGTATCAACCAAGAGATTGGTAAGATTCCGTAGCGCCACGGCGAGAACATCCGTACCCTGCGCTGATGTACAAACATCCATATACAGACCAAAGACCTTTGAGATAGTTTCCAACGGCAGGTATTCGACAGTCCATACCTCTGGTAGGGTTTCAAGTGAAACCACTAACGCACTGACGTCTTTCTCCACCATCAGGCGAGCATTTTCAATATAGGAATCCACGGTATCCGAGTTGTAAAGTGCATAGACGCTCTGTTTGGCGCGTTGTAGACGAAATAGAGCGCCGTCACTATTTGCCGTGGGCTTTACGTCCGATGTAGCAAGCGACAGGTCTAAAGTCTTGAGCAATGACCCTATCACTTCCTTGCCCTCCCGAACGAGGTGTAATCCGTATTTGGATGCCTGATTCGAGACCTCTAAAAGGCAGCTTGCAGATCCGGTATCCGAGCTAGGTCGATCGGCGTCGTATCCCGAACCTCGACCAAGAGGGTAACGAGGTCTCCGTAACCCACTGTTCGGTAGTGAAAAGAAATAAAAGACGAATTAGCAAAGCACAAGATAGTCAGCATGCCAAGTTAATACGATACGCACCTGTCAACTGTGCCGGCATAACCTCTGCCAGCCTCTCAACAAGGAACTTGGCTGTCAGTAAGGCGCCGTGGAGACGATTCTTCGCCCTCCCATATTCCTCCCTAGGATCAATGGAAAGGAGATTCTTCAAAGACTCGAGCCACTCGTCATGGAGAAGACATGAGCAGAGCGTCCTAGCTGCAATCTCACGGACGTGCCAAGCGGGACTGCCGAGATAATCGGCAATGTACCGTTGCAATTCGTCTCGGAGGGCCGCAGGAGGTCCCGCCCGACGGACGATGTCCAAGGCGGGGAAGACAGCCTCCGCCGCAGCCGTCGTCGAAATCTCGTACACCATGTCCCGGCCGCTTTTGAGGAGACTCAAGAGGACAGGTGCCAAGGTGGGATACCTTCCATAATGGAGACGGTTGGCTTTGCCGTCCCAGCCGGCCTCCATCAGGGCTTTGCTCTCGCTGGTTCCAAATAGATTGTCCATAAGACCTCTCAGAAGCAAGAGTCCGCAGTTTCGAATAGCCCAACTAGTCAATATCAGCAAAGGAGACAGACACCATCAGGGCGCTCGCCACGCGTGCTCATCCACTTACATTTGGGACCGAAGACAATCAGCCGCAAGTTGCAGGCAGAGCGGGAGATATCGCTCTAGTTTGCGTTCATGATGGGATAGGTAGGATGTTTTAAAGATGCCCGTGAGCGAATTCAGTGCATGGACCTGCGGCAAGTTGGAGCCATCCGTCTCCGACACTGCTGCAGGTGTTGCCCCAATCTCCATCAACTTTTCCATGGTTCCTTCCAATGGAATCTGGTAGTTTGCCGACAATATGCCGATAACCATGGAAGGGATGCCAGCTGATCTTCTGGTGGTCGAACGTTGGGTGTACATACAGTTCAGAGTCGCCTGAAGCAGTTAAAAACATGTACGATAATAGCTGAGCAGAGTATACATATACTCACCTTGTACCATTTCTCAAGCATGGGCTCCTCGCCTTCCGCTTGTTTATAGAACCGTGATGTCTGAGAGCAGATGGCGAAAGTCTGGGAGACGGTTGTCAAGGCGCCACGATGCCTCAAAGTCGCCAGCTGTTGGAACGAAAGGTTTCCTATGGCCGAAAAGACGCGGGTGGAGGGGCAGAGACACTCCTTGCCGCCATAGTTCTTGGCGCCCTGTATTATCGCCTTCATGACTTTGCTTCAAGGATATTAGAAAACCATGTGCCGGAGAGGGTCGAAGAAAACTTACCTAGACTCATCGATCGCTCGAAAGCTATAACTCAAAAGATTCTTTGTGTCCAGACCCTCCATTTCGTCCAGATCGTCAGGCAGATGGCCCTCGGGGAATCGTCGCAGAGAACGTCCCGCACGACATTCCAAACACGTTGGCAGCACTCAAACATGTCCCCATAGAGGCGGTCAAGGCCGGCTAGCTCCTCAGGTTCGTACGTTTGCTCGTTGATGGAGAGGACTATATAGCTCAGCGCCGCGAAAACCCATGCGTCGGCGCATCGAGCACGGCGAGACCCAAGTTGTCCTCCGCGGCGGCTATCCTCTTCATAAGCGCCGCGATGAGTTCTTCCAAAAGCGCATGTTTTGCGTCCTGGTCCGGAGAGAATCTATGAAGGAGTTCGTAAGCCCGGGCAACACCGTTAGCATGGTCCGCCCGGCCAGTTTGGTTCGCAAGCTGGTTGGCCCTCGCCAGGAATTGGGCCAGCGATTCCGAAGGCGAGACGCCTTGGGGAGAAGGGAGCTATAGCGGTCATCATTGAAAAGTAGCTTTAGCAGGGTGGCCGAAATGTCTCGTACGTCGTCAAAAGGATCCATGAGTAGGTCGAGGAGAGCGCGAGACCACGTTGAATCAAAGATACTAAAAAGTATCGTGCCGTCGTCTGTCGTTTCCCACGTCTTGACAGGGACTGCCTCGAGCTGGATGATTTTAATAATGGCCTTGAGGGACGTGACATGTCGTTGGTAAGAGGCAGTCGGGACGAGCTCGGCCCTCAAGAAGCGAATGTACCATTGGAGGAAGTCCTCGTGAAGCTTTAAAGCGGCGGCGAGTTCCGGTTCAGGGTGCGAGATGATATTAGTATGGTACAGCGCAGGCTTCCGAGACTGAGCGGCGTCCGCCTTGTGGAGAGCTGCGCGCGCCCGAGCAAGGCTCCGGCGGAGTACAAAGATGCCACCGCGGACACGCTTATACATGTCTCTCAGCTTAGCGAGAAACTCGTTTCGGAAACGGGCTTCCGAGTCTGCGAAATACATGCCCAAGTGCTGTTGTAGGAGTGCGAGAGCTGTGGGGGAGTAGGGCCGGGTGGTGGATGATGAGGAGACGATTAACGACAGCGCGTGAGTACGGACACTATACGAAGGATGGACCAGTACAAGCTTGAGGAGGTCTTCCTGGAGAACGACCTGGTCGGTCTGGCCCTTGGTCTGGGTTTGGCCATACACTAACACACACACACAAAAAAGTCATTAGTTAGAGTCAAGACGTAAGAGACAAGTGGAATGGCGTACCTGGCTCCTCAACTAAACCTACCCGCTTTCCCACCTCAAGCGAGGCAAGCTGGAGAGTAGCAGGGATATCCAGATCGGTTTCCGGGTTGAGGATGCCCTTGTCCAAGCGGTTCATTCTCTGCAACAACTGGACGGAGGAGTTCTTGTCCGACTTGAAGAGCGGGACAAAGATGTAGTTCTTGACACCGTCTAATAAGGACGGTTCAGCAGCCAAAAATTCGAGCAACCATTCATGCCAAGCCCCCACAGTGAATGGGGATCTAGTAAGGAACCCCCTCTCGGATTCGACTGACAGCAACCGGTGCACCGTCGCGATGAATTTTCCAGCTACGGGACACACGAACTGCGTCTCCATCCAGACAAATACCTCGGAGAGATAGTCTTTCCAAAAGGCAAGGTCGGAGATATGTAATTCGGACTTCTTCTGCGCTTTATAGCTATTTGCGACCTCCTCTAAAGTCACCACGGACTTTGTTAGAAAGCGATCGAGGACCATGATGGCGGACTTGGCCAATGGCTTGGTCGATTGCCTCGCCATGATGGAAACTAGGGTGTCTAAAACCGTTAGCCTTACGCAAGGTGGCTCCTTGTGGCTCTGCCCACGGATCATGAGATCCACGAGAAGGTCTAGAACAAGCCTCAGCGACCTCTCCGCGTCGGACTCGTTCCATTCAAGGTACAGATCGAACAGCCTCATGTAAAGGCCGTCTGAGAGTGCCCAGTCCTTGACGGTCTGCGACTCTGACTTGGAGCACTTTTCAAGAAACCCGCAGAGCTTTACTCGGACCTTGCTACTCGAGGCTTTCGTCAGCGCCTCTCCCGAGGTCAACTGGTCGAAAATCGCATCAGCGGCACTTTGAAGGCAAGTCAGCACCATATACTAGAGGTTTCGAGTAGGCGTGGGTCAGATCTCACGCAGCTCTTTCAGCATCCGGTTGTTTCTCTAGCCACGCTACAGTGTCATGTGGGCTCTGGCTTCCAGCGACGTCCAGCTCACCGATCCCAACATCTCGACCCTCGACGACGGCCATTATTGCTCGAGTGCTCCCGGATGGCGGGGCAGTGAGATAGAGGTGGGGTGAAGATGGAATACTATGAGGCAAGTGCAAGTGCAAAATTCATGGCCAATATAAAAGAAATATATGATCTTATACTACACCATGCGGAGACGACGAATGACAAGAAAATCACCAAGACGGGCACCTGTTCATTCACTAAAAAGTCCAAACTTTTACCAAACACTGCGACTAATACCAGGCCTTGTAAGAATCGACGATGCAGCAAAAATTCGCCTGACTAAGCGGGGAAAGGGTAAAAAACCCGCCATGAGAAGACCTCCCAAGCGCTAAGAAACTAGTGCATGCCGTCCGTCTCAAGAAAGAATTGGACCCCGCCAAAGAGCATCACGTGAGTCTTCTCGTGACGAAAATTTGCCCTGTGGGCGAACCCCACCAACTTCGCTCACGAATTTTCCCATATTCGCAAACTTCTAGGGACACACTCCAACGACCATCACCAACAACCAATTCACCTCTCATCTCTGACCAGTACGCGACTACCAGATCAGAACTAATTGATACTGGGAGACTGACAAAATGTCGAGTAAGTCTATTCCTCACGAACTCCCCGGGACCCTGACAAAAGAAGGGTCTTTCGTGACTTGAAATGCTGGGCAACTCATGCTAACCAAATTTCTTTTCTGTCTATAGAAATCACAGTCGGTATGGATAAATCCCCAAGGCGATTCGCAATAACGACGGCAACGACTCGACTTGTGGCTCTGTCATGCTAACGAGACTTTTGCATAGCCCACGTGCGTACGCAGGTCAGCGAGCTCCTTGAGTACTCGCTCAACGAGAAGAAGCGAAACTTCCTCGAGACCGTCGAGCTCCAGATCGGCCTCAAGAACTATGACCCCCAGCGTGATAAGCGTTTCTCGGGTACCGTCAGGCTTCCCACCATCCCCCGTCCCAACATGAAGCTCTGGTAAGAAGATTTCCTTTTCCGATCCTTTAGCTCCCAATACCCCGGATTCTCGTCGCGATATTGGGAGAAAGCGGTGATGCATGGCTAACATGAGTCGGGGGAAACAGCATTCTTGGTGACCAGCACGATATCGATCGTGCCAAGCACGCCGGCATCGACTCCATGTCCGCCGACGATCTCAAGAAGCTTAACAAGAACAAGAAGCTCATCAAGAAGCTCGCCCGCAAGTACGATGCCTTCGTCGCCTCCGAGGCCCTCATCAAGCAGATTCCCCGTATCCTCGGACCCGGTCTCTCCAAGGCGGGCAAGTTCCCCACCCCCGTCTCTCACGCTGAGGACCTCGTCGCCAAGACCAACGAAGTCAAGTCGACCATCAAGTTCCAGCTCAAGAAGGTTCTCTGCATGGGTGTCGCCGTCGGAAACGTTGGCATGGACACTGAGCAGCTCATCTCCAACATCATGTTGGCCATCAACTACCTCGTCTCTCTTCTCAAGAAGGGCTGGCAGAACGTTGGTAGCCTTACCATCAAGGCTACCATGTCTCCTCCCAAGCGCCTGTACTAAGCTGATCTTTTGGGCCATTTTCGACAAATTTCTTTTGCAGCCTTTTAGTAGTGCGCAGACTTCTCGGGATGTCTATGGCTCTGCGGTGGCCGAGGGAGTAGGAAGCCCTTGCGCGGGCGACTTTCTAGCCGGGAATCGGGGTGCATATACAGGAACCTTGGAGTTTTAGGAATGGAAAATGAAATGAAATGAAAAGCAGACGTGATGAACCAAACAATCGTTACCGGTTATGGCAATTATTGCAGACAGCAAACATTCCGATGTGAAGTGATGGTCATGCCGTGAAATGAGGGGCCTCGAGGATCATCCCAAGACCCGAAGCAGCCCTGGTCGTTCGGCGATCTCATGTAGAAGCCGAACAGCTCCCTACTCGTTCCGTTCCTTTCCGTCTATCCCTCTCTCTGTCCCTGCCTCCTTCTCCCTCGCACGCCCCCATCTCTGGCCTGCCGCGGCCGCACAACGCTTGCTGCAGCAGGCCGACGCCGATCCACTAGCGGGCAAAGTATTCCTCCTAAAGCTCGGCGTTGTCTTAGCCAAACACATCACGTCTCCAAGATAACACACGCTATGTATGATCCATGACGGCGACAGCAGTAGTTAATCAGGGGGAGCTTGAAAGAAAAAGAAAAGAGAGGTCAAAAAGCCACGGGGGCAGGGTTTCCAAAATAGAAACCGCACCAGTCTCTCCCTCTCTCCCTTGGACGGAAAGAGGTCCGCCCGCGATCCTTCAAGAGAGAGAATCCCTTCCTAGATGAGAAGAAGGCGCGTCAAACCCCGAACCTCGTCATCTCTGAGCATCGTTTCCCGCAACCGAAGCGGCGCGGGCACGCAGACAAAAGAAAAAGGCAAAGAAAAAGGTATCTCGTCTCTCCAGGGGGCCCTAGACAATAATGCCGGGTCCTCGACATCCTGCGGATGGGAGGATTTCCTGGAGAGATTAGGATAGACCGCGGGGCCACGCAGGAGACGGCCTCGACATCACCTTTGCATTCAATGTTGATCAACAACGGCCAAAAACCCACCCCTTTCACAATACCAGGGGTCGCAAAGAAGATGAGGCTCTCACGGGAGAGAGCGTCTCCCTTTGCGGTCCTGCCCTTTCGTTTTGGTTTCCCTCCTCCACTGCCCCTCCATCCTCTGTGTCTCCCTGGACCCTAATCTCCGGCAATTACACAAAAGATGGGCACCACCGCAAGGATCGAGTGGACCAAGACCTGGCGAAATAGCCTGGGCAAACATGGCAAGCAAGCGTCGATTCCCGCAAGCGATCCCTGCGAGAAGGGGCCCTGCCTGCATCAAAGTTATAATAACAATCCGATCTTTTTCCCTTTTTATTAGTATCCAAGTGTAGGCATGTCCCGAGGACGGCCTCGGTATTTCTCCCTGGCCTCCCGATTTCCGAGAGGTCGGTCCCCCTGCGCACACCCTTCTTCTTTTCTTATTCTCTCTTTGGTCGGTGTGCCCCGGCCTCAAAGGAGATTTTTTTCTTCTGATCATCTTTAAATTGCGGAAACCAAGAATGGGAGCCCTAGCATGTCCCGAATCAGGTAGTCGCGAGCGCACATCTCTCTTTCCCCTTGCCACACTTCCCCAACACTCCCGTCGCGCACAGGAAGGGAGGGGGAAGCCCCAATGAGATTTGAATAGAATAGAGTATGCATGGGCGGCGTGTAAATAGATGTGTGCTTTGTGCATGTGCCTGTCCTCAAATGTGGTGATCGAAATGTAACGCAACCCCTTTTGATGGGGATTCGACATGTTGGGTTGGGATGGCGTCCATCATAGTACCGCTTGCAACACGATATTGATTTGGAAATACTTGTGTTACTTGTGGTACTTGTTGGAGGATCAATCTCGTCGTCTAAAAATGAACATCGAAGCCGAGAGAGGGAGAGAGAAACAGCACGCTTTGAGAGCTCAGACTCGGGGCCTTGCTTCACGCCGTTGCTACAGTTAGCGCCCCACCCAGCCCCCTTCTCCCCTCCCCAGCACTGGCGGAAACGGGAAACCCCTGACAGCTTCGTACCCACATCAACGTCCAGCACTCCGTCATGCAGCTGCGAAGAACCCCCTTCAAGGGCAGGCTCTCATCCAGAGCCCACATGGGATCAATGCATCATTGATCCATGGCCTACTCGATTTCCTGGCCGGCCGATGGTCCTCCCCCTACCAAGGGTCGTCGTCCCCTATTTCCCACTCGGCCGATTGTGATGGTTACCCTTCCCCGGTTCCCCCGGGATGCTGCAGCGTCGAGCGAAACGTTGCGCTCCGCCCACCAAGTGACCGAACAATTGATAGAAACATGAAAAAGCCCCCGTGCGCACTACGTGTTCGAGGGAGATGTAGCACCAGCGGAGCGGAATCCACCATCATTGGAATTGGACCTCTCGGGTGAACCCCTTTCTCCGCCCACTTTTTCTTTTCTCGCCTTGGTTTCGAATGAGGCCGAAGGTGGGTTTAGGCTTCTACCCAGCACTCGCGGTTCAAGCTACGACATGGCATCATGCGTGGTAATGCACGTTCCGAGCATGTCTGGCCGAAAAGAAAGAAAAAAAGACACAAGGACGCATTAGGGCGTGAGGAAGCGCCTGGTACGGGTAAACCATTTGCCCAAGGCTGATCCGAGATCGAAGCTTGTCTCTCCCCCAAAGCTCTTTGACCCCCAAACTGCTGTTATCTATCCATCGTTTCCGAGCTGCCCCTGTCCTATCAGCTGCGCAGAGAGTCGGAGTTCTTTCTTGTCTCAATCCTCGCCTTCTATCAAGCTTGGGCGGAGCGTCGGGGCGGGCCCAGTGGGACGGAAAATGGGGCTACATGGAGTCCTTTGTCTGAAATTCGCCGAGATTGAGCAGCAGCTGGCTGCTTCCTGCTTGCTCGTGCTCGTGTTTTTATCGAATCACTCAACCGGCGTGGCCCTCTTTACTGGCCCACCCTTGACAGCCTTTTGATAGGGAATGGGCAAGCAAGTGAGCACAGAGCGTGATCCATGCTTCACCGACCTCGAGAGCTCAGAGCTACGCGATTGAAGCACCCGGAAGCACTAGTAGTTGCTCGCCAAGAAGAGAGCATGGAGCTACAAGGATCATCTCGCACATGTCTTCTCGACTTGGGATGATCTCGAGTGAAAGCTGCCCACTTCCGCCCGCCGTCCACCGCCCACCGTCCACACCCCCTTCCCCCAACGCCCCCTTCTCAGATCCTTCGAGATCGAACAATTCCGCACAATTTGAAATCGTCGAACCAACAAGTCGACTTCAATAGTGTCGTTCGCGCCAGGATATCTCGAACAGAGGTGGAGCCATTTCGTTTACGTCTCCCTAGCCAAGTCCCCTGTTCAGGAAGAGAAAGGACAAGGTAGTTGAGTGTTGAGATAATATCCCTCTAGCTCCCTCGTCCCGAAATGGAAGCCCGGGCCGCCAATCGATATTTACGACCGCTGGCTTTCCTTTCTTTTTCCTCGTCTTTTTGTTTCTTTCCTTGTCTTTTTCTTTACGAAAAGAAAAAGGACCACCCGTTAGAACCCTTTTGTCGGTGTGAAATCACTTAATAGTGATACCGACGTAAAGAGCCAAAGAGAAAGCTGAGAGTGAGCAAATCTCTTATCCATGTAGAGAGAGGCCTTGTTCGCGCCATCTATCTGTAACCCTCACTCGAGGAGCAGGCCTATCATGTATCATAGCAAGTAGGTCAACGACTTCGAACGACCGCCTCGCGCGCGTCGTCCAACACAATGTGGTACCCACTCACCAGCAGCCCAAAGCCTCGCGTGGCCATTGGAGATTGAGGAGATGGAGAGCACCAAATGTGTCAGCTGTACGCATGAAGAGCTACAGTAGCATGAGCTATCGGGGGAACTTCTCCCAGAAGGGGAAGAAAAATCCAGGTTACGTCTTCCCTCTTTTCTTCCTCTTCTTCTATTACCTTTCTCCCCCCACCCCAGTCTTCACAAGCACGAAAGCTCCGCAACACCACCACCTTATTTTCCCCAAGTGCCACCTGTGGTCTGGAAAGGCCTCTGGCGTAGCGCCTATTGGGCAATGCGGCACGACAATCGCGCCGATACCAAGCCAGGCTGAGTCGCACTACGACGCTGAACATGGGAGGAGGGCGTTATTGGATGGGGGAGAGGGAGGGGGGATTTCGCTTGCCTTTCTTTCCTTTTTAAACTTGGTCACGATGGCTCCCTTGCGCCGTCGCAGTCGGCGCCGCTACTACCGGCAGTCGAAGATGGTGACGCAAGTGGGGGAGTTTGCGCCGGGTGAGAGTCGGTGCTGTTGTTGAACTACGAAGTAGAAGGCCACCTTCAACAGCCAGCGAACAGGTCAACGGCGATCGATCTCGGGTCTGCTTTCTGACATGCCTCTTGTACTTGCATGGAATGTTACACCTACCTACAGGCGAGGCGGGGTATCATAAGAAAGAAAGAAGGAGAAGAAGAAAAAGTACTCTTGAAAGAGGCAACAGCAACGACACTGGCACGTAGTGTACGTCCGGTCCAGCAACCCTTGCGCTTTCTCGGCCACCTGTGATGTGAGACAGGAAATGGGAAATGCGAGTGCGGGTCGAGGCATCGTCATCTTGAGTGATCTTTTGCACCCACCGCAAACCACTGACCACTGCGCGTGTTTGCTTTTTCAGCGACGTGGGCCACTTAGAAACAAGGGCAAAAGTAGCAGAATAGGGTCTGGGGGCGGACATCATCTCCAAGACATGGCCATACGCCGAGGAGATCAAAAATCTCAACCCATGTGGATGAAGCACCTTGTCGGCTGTGGGAGACATGGATCGTCCTCATTTGCCCATATATTGGCGATGTGAGAGCGTTGTAGTGGGTGTTGCATCAAGTCAGTATCTGGATCCCCCTTTCTCCTTTCTTCTTCCCTCCCTGGCTTCCTTCAATTACTGCGTCCTTCACGCCCTATACTCCCCGTTTTCCTCGGAGTCTTGAGACAGGCCGGGATTATCAAGAACAAATTCCATCAGGAGGATGGGCCAGGGTC